TCCTGGTTGCCATGTTCAAACTTTCACCAAATAAGCAAAACCGTGGGGCTGTTAAGTCAACGACGCCAGCGACGACAGAACCTGTAAGCAGTTGTGTAGGTATACTATGTAAAATAGTTATACTTTATGACTGAAAATTTTGATTTACTTTGGTTTTGATGTCATATTTTTCCATTTCCTCTGAAGTGTACAAAATGAGCCCGATTATCAGTTGGTCATACCTATTAAAGGGAGCTGACTTTATTTTTGCAAGTACTGCATTTTAGCACGGCTTCCACTTACTAGTTACGTTTGAGAAAGGGGTTGTAACTAAAAGCAGAACTAAATGCCAAATTGACCTAATTTTAAAATTCGAAAACTTTTGTTGACTAACGGGATGATTCTAAAATCATTTAGGTAGTGTGCCGTTTATGAATAGATTTTACCAAAAATTGAGCGTTAAAATTCTTTTTTTCTACTGAAGGGCATTTGCTGACATTTTGAAGCCATGCTATAAGAATTGTCACTGTGGATTCTCTGTAAATTTTGAGATGGTCCAACTTTTTTGAGTGTTGGTTTTTGTAACCGTCAATTGCCGTAATCATTGCACTTGCAAAAGCAAGAGACATTTTCGAGTCCTTTCTTTTAAAATTTTTAGTTTAAAGTTACCTGTATGCATTCCGATACGTACATCGACAACTTGTCCTGGAAGGTGAGGAACTTTAAAGCTTTTGATATTTTTTACCACTGATAATGCCATGTTGGCAATTTCACGACCGTGTTCATGGCCATTCCGGCGTGGCACTCCAGAAGCACATAGATAGGCGTCTCCCACTGTTTCAACCTAAATTTGCTATTTTGTAGCGCTGAAATTGAGAAAAGTACTAAGCATCCTAAAATTAGCAGAAAAGCCTCACTTTGTAAACGTCGTGTTCGTTGATGATACTGTCAAACATAGTGTAAAGGGCATTGAGTAACGCAACCACCTGAAAAAGCTTCGTACTGAATTACTGCTGCTTCTGTCGCCATTTTTAGCTTTTTTTTTTTT